ATTGTCAGCAATATTCCAAAGTTGAAGTCATTCTTCCAAATGCCTCTTCTGAAATCCTGCCAAGCTTTCATGACTGTGAAATTGTGAACTAATTTCCTGGTACCAGTTCAGTGATCTAGCTACCTTGCAAAATAATGTTCTTTTCAAAGTTTACAATTTAAAAAGTAGTTTCCTGGGTTTTTACACTGATGCAGCCAATAGAGAAATTTGAGCCTGTACTGTCACTTCGTTAAAGTCCTTAGCTCCAGGTTCCAACTTGCAGGTAAATATGTGTGTGTTACCACAACAGCTTGGTCACACTCCATGGGAGCAGCTGGTTGGCTGGAATGGGCTGGTATGGTTCAGATTGGAGACAACAGCAAGGGCTTTTTTTGCTGCTTCAGCTGAGTTAGGGAGCTGCCTCTCTGCCCCACCCGTGGTGAAGGACAATGCGCTGTGTGTCAGACCTACTTTCAAGCAGACAACTGAAGGAGAGGTGAATGGCTTTCTGGTGAATTCATTGTCAAGTTACAAGCAACATTAAATTTACAATCTAACCATTAGAAGATTTTTAAAAAATGTTGTGATGAGCAGTGAATATCTTAAGATAACAAGGTGTAGAGCTGGATGAACACAGCAGGCCAAGCAGCATCAGAGGAGCAGGAAGGCTGACGTTTCGGGCCTAGACCGAATATCTTAAGTGCTTTTGTCCTTTCCCTTTTTATTGATTTTTGTTTAAAGAGTAATCTAAATTACTTCTAGTATCAACTTTGAAAAGTTTGTAAGTTTAAGCTCAGTCAATACTAATACAGTGAATACAGCTGTGTTGTGGGTTAGTAACTGTGCCCTTGCTCATTTTAATTCAGCTCATTCACACAATTAGCCTCAATAATTTTGCTGAGGCAGACTTCCAACGTTATTAGCAGCACTCATTGTTTAAATAGCAACAACAAAAATTCATTACAACAGCAACAGATCGAATGAACTTGATTATAATTCTGACTCATTTGTTTTCTAACTGAGGTTTTGGTGGTCACATCCTTCTTTAAATATTCAAACAGGGTAATTTTTATGAGGTTCTGTGCAATAATCCAAGTGTATGTGGGAATTAGTGACAGGTTGAACAAAATCTAACAGTTGTATTAAAATAATAGAAATAAGGTACACAAACTGAAGATAAATACTGCCTCAGAGAGTAAGTTAATGGTGTTTGTTAATATGACAGCTGAGTTTTCCATTACAGATATTATTTAGCGGATAGCAATTGTCTGATTCTTGTTAAGAATCCAGATCGCATGACCACAATGGAGGACACAAAGGTGGTAATTGTTTATTGTAGTTATTTAATGAACCTGTTTGGACGTGTCCACTGTGGAGCAAGTGGGACTTATAATTGAGCCGTAATACTGCCTGGCTGATTGTGGGAGCTGTGTAACTTGCAGATTTATTTCTTGTTGGATTAAGCCTCAGTTACTGAGTGAGGCCCTTTTGATGCTGATTGCAGCAGTGTGCAGGGTGAGGTAAGGACTTTCCACTACAACCACAGATATGCGATAGGAGTGAGACAAGGCCCAGCTTGGAGCTTCTCAGGTCCTGTGGCTTAAAAAAAGGAGTGTAATGTTTGACTTTTTAACTTATTTCTTTATTTTTCTATTTCTTCACCAAAGTTTTTGTACCTAGGTACCTTTGTACCTAACATGGCACCAGGAGCGGTGACTTTGTACATTTATCACTGTACTCCTGTACCCATACTCAAGGGTATGTGACAATAAACTAAAATCAAATCAAATGGCATCATCATACTGGGAGGTGCTTAATGCACCCCTCATTATTAACCCTTTCACACCCATATACACCAGAGCTCACCAGGAGCACTCAGTGCAAAATATCTCCCCACAATGTTCCATACAAAGATAAAGCTTTGTCACTACTTCTTGTCCTGAAGTCTCAAACTTTTAACAATTTCATCCACCTCCTTTTTAGACGATTTCATTGAGATAAAAGAAACTGATATTGGGAGATTCCACGATTCAAATTTTTTTTCTAATCTCTGGTTTCTGGTGAGAGATGCACTCACATCCTCTCATTTTCTGGACATGATTTAACTTTCAATAACATGCTGACATCGGTAACATCTTGTGTTTGTGCTGATGGTTAGGTTCTGGAAGTCCCCACATCACTGTCAATGGTATGAATATAATCAGCTGGGGCGGAGGAGTGATCTCAGAGCAAACCTGAAGGTGATGTCCTGAGTCCTTTACAAAGAGAGAGAGGTTTATAATCAGTAACTGGGATTTGGTCAGAACCAATAGAGATTCCCCCTTGGGTTTGAATTCTCTGCATTTAATCACCATTTGCTAGAGATTCCATATTGTGGACTCTTGCAACATTGTACATGATCATCCCAGAAGATGTGCAGAAAGACCTTTCAGCCCACTCAGAAAAGTCAGGCAGGCTCCTTCTTGGATTCCCTCCCACCAGGAATATCAAGGTAATGGAACAAGTTTTATAAAGGGACTTGCTGAGGCTGACTGTGAGCATTTGACATGTCGGATTTAGAGAACATTGTGATTTTGGACTCTGACTATCGGATCACTTACTGGAATCAAAGTGGGCCTGCTCAGAATTCGTTGTGACAGTTCAGATAGCAGCCTGGGACTCTGCGGTGGGTTCAGTCAGTCTGGGACTCCATGTGGCATTTTCTTGGGCATTGTGGTGGGACTGGCCTGGGATTCCAATGGGAAGTCAGGCCCTCGAGCCCAGTGCTGGGAAATGGGCTGAGTGGACTTTGTCTTAAATTCTTTTTTTTACATTTCTTTTTGTTTATTACATTATCATGGAAGGACTGTTATTCTGAACATTTTATTTCTTTATTTTTCTAATTAATTCCTGTGATTTTGTACTTTAGGAGGTCTGTAATGCTGGACTTTTTTATTTCTTTATTTTTCTAATTTTTCTTTCCTAAGAGTTTATACTCAAGAATCTGTACCGAGGTGATTTCGTACCAAAGATGGTGCTGTAAGTGGCAACTTGTAAACTTTTCACTGTACTCATGTAAAAGTACATGTGACAATAAAAGCTAATTCAATTCAATTCAATCCCTGGTCCGTGCTATGTAAACCTTCTTTCCCCGAGGCCTACATTTATCGTCTTATTCAATCGTAATTGTCATTGGAGATGTATCTTTGTTGCTTCTCTGTAGAAAGAAAAAGTCTCCACAGTTTTGGCATTTCCTTGAGGCCAACCTGAAGGCAACTTGTTCCAACTATTCTTGGATGATTGCTCCTCTGCGCGATTTCCACACTGTGCCTTCTTTCCAAGGCATCACCAGCAATAAAAGTCAAGTTGGCAGTCAGTAGTCCACAGATGCATCAAGCAAATGATTTTTGCAACAGGTACATCACTTTGTCTGAGGGATAAGTAAATTCAGCAGGGTGCTGAACATTTCTTGTGAACAGTACTTACATGTAGCACAGAGTGTTCAGTGTGGTACCAACTCTCCCCGGGCCAGTAACAGAGTTTGCTACATCCCATCATACCATCTACTTTGCTGTTTTATCATGTGAATTATATTTAAAACACTGGCAGATGGAATATAACGTGGTGAAATGTGATTCATGCTTGTTGGAAGAAGAGAGAAAACAAACCAGAATGTTTGGGTTTAAAGTAGAGAGAAATTATTGAATATTATGGTCCGTGTTGGGTGTGGGGGGGTGTGGGTGTGGTTGGGGTGATTTTATAACAAATATCAGAAAGTTAACATGATGGTCGAGCCAAAAAATAGGAGGACAGATTGGTTTGTATGTGGAATGAAATGCCAAAGGAAGTAGTAGATGCTGGTACAGTTACAACATTTTAAATACATTTGCAAAGGATACGTTTGGATATGAACAGGAAAGGTTTAGATATAGACCAAATGCAGGCAAATGGCATTGGTTTAGTTTGGGAAACTTGGTCGACATGGATTAGGTCAGAAGTCACATGACACTAGGTTATAGTCCAACAGGTTTATTTGAAAACACAAGCTTTCGGAGCCTTAATCCTCCTCAGGTGTTAGTGAGAGAGATAATATCAGACACGTGAATCTATGGGATGAATTTGTATCTGCAGATACATTTTATTTTGTTCAAAAAGCACACAATTATAGCCAGTCAGTCAATGTGGCATTTTATAAATTCCTACTTTAGAAATAAAACCAGTCTGACTCCAAATTAAAGTGCAAACCGATTCTAAACAAGGCCTCACACCCAACATGTATTGCCTGACCTAAAATGTCATCTCTTCTTTACACTGATAAAACCTTTAATTCTCTCAGGACTGTGATTTGTAAGGAATTCAGGGATTTACATATACATATTAATTAGTTAAAACCTTCTAACTGATTAAAGATTTAACAGAATCTTAGGTTTGTTTAGTACATCCTCATCAGTGGTGTGACCCTTTGATCTTTTACTTATAAATTCTGTGTCTGATGCCATCTCTCTCACTAACACCTGAAGAATGACTGAGGCTCCAAAAGCTTGTGTTTTCAAATGACCCTGTTGGACTACAACCTTGTGTCGTGTAATTTCTGATTTTAATTTCTGATTTAATTTCTGTTTCTAATTTGTCCACCCCAGTCCAACACCAGCACCTCCACATCATGACATGGACTGGATGGACCAAAGAGTCTGTTGCCATACTGTATGACTCTAAGACTCTAGGACTATAGCAAGTGACGTACTGGGGAACTCAGACTACAGAATGTTCAGTGTGTGAGCTGTTGGACGTTGTGAGTTCTGGGTTGTTCTGTACTTGGTCATGGATTTAATTAGTAACTAACCTTTAAATGACAGCTATTACATTCCAAATTCTGATCCAATGCTTTTTCATATTTAAGATAAAAGTCAACTCTAAGCAACATTGAGTTCCCAAGGATCTGAGGCATGGTTACCTGTACAAAATAACCTGGCATAAACAGACCCAGAACCAGCAACAGCCTGGTCACTGTTTCTGAGTAAGATTCCTAATGTTGTCTCGGAATGATTGCTATCGGTTATACCACAGCCTTTGTATCAGACCGAATTAGCAGAGAAGTTTATTCCTCAGCAGTGATGGTAAGTTGTAAACAGCTGTTGAAGTCAACTCCAATTGCACAGTCCTCTGGAACTAGTGCATGAAAGAGTTAACCAGTTCCTTTTGTCCCGACCACATACAAGGTGTTTCCTCAAAGTGGCCCAGGAGTGATCCAGTCTCAAACCAGATAAAGGTTTATTTATTATGAAGTACTGCTGTAAATTATTGAAGAGCACTAAAGTTACGAATTACATACAAGCAAGGATTAAATGAAGATAAGGAGAAAAAGACACTTATAAAGATGAGATTCCATTCGGTTAAAGAATCGTACAATCATGGAATTTTTCAGTATCAAGGGAGGCCATTTGGCCCATTCTGTCTGTACCAGTTCCCAAAAGAGCTACCCAGCTAGACTCATTCTCCAGCCATATCTCCGTATACCTCCAATTTCATCTCTTTCAAATATATCTCCAGCTCTATTTTGAAATCTCCTGGGAATCCACCTCCACCCCTCTCCCAGGCAACGCATTCTGAATCCTAACAACTCTCTGAGTAAAGAAATTGTTCCTTATCTCACTGCTACCTCTCTCGCTGACAGTCTTGAAATTGTGACCCTAGTTACTGACAAACCAACTAATAGAAACAGAATATCCTTCTTTACCCTGTCAAAATTGTTCATAATTTTGAACATCTCAATAAGGTCACCTCTTAATCTTCTCTGGTCCAAGGAGAATAAATCCAATCTCTTTAATCGTTCCTTGTATCTAAAATCTCTCATTCCTGTAAATCTCCTCTGCATTCTCTTCACAGCTTCAGCATTCTTCCTTAAATAATGCGCCCAAGCAAAACACAATACTCCAAATGTGGTCAGACCCATGATTTGGAGAGGTGTAGCATCACTTCCTTACTGTTGTACATTATGCCTCTGTTTATAAACCCAAGGATCCTATAACCCTTCTTAACAACTGTTTCAACGTGCCTGCAGAGAATTATGCACCTGAACCCTCACATCCCTCTGTTTCTGTATTCTCCTCAAAGTTGTCCTGTTGAGCCCGTATTATCTCTCCATTTTTCTTCTACCAAATGCATTCCCTCACATTTCTCTACATTGAAATCCATCTTCCAGGTGTCTGCCCATTTGGCCAACATATCAATGTCCCTCTGAAGTTGTTCAGCATCATCTTCACAATTCACTATTCTCTCTAGCTTAGTATCATCTTAGAGATTTTGCCGTCAACACCCATCTCCAAGTTGTTTAAATAAATCACAAAGGAGCAAGGGTCCCAACACTGATCCCCTTAGAACACCACTTTCAACTTGTCTCCAATCTGAGAAATGCCTTTCTATACGTGCCCTCTGTTTCCTACCTTTTAACCAACTTCTAATCGATGTGGCCAAGGACCCATCAATCCCAAACATTTCTAATTTTCTAACCAACCTGCCATGTGGCATCATATCAAATGCTTTCTGAAAGTCCAAATATACAATATTCACAGACTACCCTCATCCACTGACTTTGTCACCTCATCAAAGAACTGAATAAAATTTGTCAGACAAGACTGACTTTGACAAAGGCATATTGACTGTCTCATATTAATTTATTTTTCTCTAAGTGTATATTTACCTTTTCACATTGTATTGCCTCCATCAGTTTTCCCTCTATTAATGTCAATCTGACAGCTCTGAGGTCTTCTTTGCTCCTTTCCTGAACAAAGGTGTGACATTGCCAATCTTTCAGTCCTCTGGAACTAATCCTGTGTTCAGGGGGTTCTGAAAAATTTCTGTCAACAGCTCCACAATTTACTCCCTTACCTGTATCTGAGCAATCTAGGATGTATCCAACTGGGACCTGGCTATGTTTTTCCCTGGAATGTTGCCAGCCTTTTTAGCACCTCTTCTTTATCCATCACTACAGTGCTTAGTCACTCAACACCCACACTTGGTATAGACAGAAGCAAAATAGTCACTTACTACTCTGCCATTTCCTTTGCTCCAGTGAGCTGCAGTCTTTGTGTTCCTCATGGGCCTCACTCTATCCTTCATTAACACCAATAATGCAGAACATTTTACTGTTTATTTTAGTCCTTTATAATATTATTTGCAGGTGAAGCATTGGTTATTTAGAGGAAAAGGTTGAATGAAGAGTTCTGTTCAGTAGCTGCGATGATTTCTGTAGTTGGAGTTTGCCTTTCTGGATTAAGCATCTTCAGGGAGTGGGTCCACTGTCATTTTTTTATTCATGAAGTGTGGGTCACTGGATCAGCCAGTATTTATTGCCCATCCATAATTACCCAGAGGGCAGTTAAGAGTCAACCACATTGCCAAGGGTCTGTAGTCCAGACCCAGTGAGGATGGCAGATTTCCTTCCCTGAAGGACGTTACTGAGCTAGATTGGGTTTTCCTGACAATTGATTCCAGATTTTTATTGAATTCAAATTCCACTATCTGCCATGATGGGATTTGAACCCAAGTCCCCAGAGCGTTATGTGGGTCTCTGGATTAATAGCCCAGCAATAATGCCACTAGGCGTCACCTCCCCCCAAGACACTTTAGAAACTTGATTCCTTTTCAGTAGGACAGGGATGTTTCTGGGTACCTTCCTCTATAGGCCCCAGTTGCAGAGAGAAAAGCCAACCCACCCAAACTGCTCACTATTAGTTCAACTGAGAGGTGTGGCCTGGGCTTGTCTTCATGGCTTCACCTGAGGTCTCCAACAAAACGAGGGTTCCCAGCCAGTTTTTAAACAGTTCCTGGCTACTATCCTGAATTCTCCATTCATGCTTCTATATTAAGTATGCTGAGGTCTGGTGCCCGGCCCCAATCATTTTTTTAGCCAAAGTAATTAATTTTGTAGGAGCAAATTACTACAGATGCTGGAGATCACAGCAGGTGAGATAGTATCCATGGAGAGAGCAAGCTAACGTTTCAAGTCTAGGTGACTCTTCATCAGAGCTGAAGTGAAGAGAGGTAGGTCCAGCCCTGCACCTTGTTGTCTCGAGGTAGGGACAGCATTTATGCAATAGTTGGTGGGGGGAAGGGTTTTGGGTGCAGAGTGCTTGGGGAGAAAAGATGTTGATAGTTCAAATTAAGTGATCGGCAGAATCATAGTGTGTTTACCTGCCAGACTCGAAAGGATGACAGTCCCATTGGGGGAAGGGGGTTGGGCGCAGGGGAGAGAGAACATGGTGATACAGAATATAACAAGTAAAGTTAAAAGAAAAGGAAGGAATGGGTTCACATTTGAAGGTATTGAACTCAATATTAAATCCAGAAGGCTGTAAAGTGCCTAGTCTGAAGATGAGATGTTGTTCCTGCAGTTTGCGCTGTGATTCAGTGGAACACTGCAGCATGCCAAGGACACACACATGGAGCATGCAAGCAGGACGCTGTGTTAACATGACCAGCTACGGGAAGGTCAGGGTCATGCTATCGCATGGACTGGAGGTGTTCAATCACCCAGTCTGCGTTTGCTTTCTCCAATGCAGATTGGCCACATTGAGTGCAGCGAATACAATGCACAAGATTGGAGGAGGTACAGGTGAAATGCTGCTTCACGTGGAAAGACTGTTTCAGCCCTTGGATGGTGAGCAGGGAGGTGGTGAAAGGGCAGGTGTTGCACCTGCTGTAGTCCACGGGAAGGTGCCGTGAGGAGGAGGTATTGTTGGTGGCTGTGGAATGGACTAGGGTGTCCCGGAGGGAGCAATCCCTGCTAAAATGCATTCGGGGGAGTGAGGGGAAGATGTGTTTGGTGGTGGCATTCTGCTGGAGTTGTCTCAAATGGCGGGGGATGATCCTTGAGTGTGGGGGATGATAGGATGAAAAGTGAGTACAAAGGGGGCCCAATCACACTGTTGAGAGTAATGGAAAGGGGCAAGGTTAGAAGCACAGTGACAGGTCAGATGCGGTTGACTACACTGGGTGGGAAACCATGTTCACGGAAGAAGCAAGCCACGTCAGCAGCACTGTTTTGGAAAGTGACATCATCAGAACAGATACAACGTAGGCAAAGGAAGTGGGAGAATGGGATGGAGTCCTTGCAGGACGTGAGGTGTCATGAACTGTAGTGAAGGTAGCTATTGGGAGTCGGAGGCTTTATAGTGGAGGCAGTGGACAGTTTATTCCCTGAAATGGAGACAGAGAAGTCAAGGAAAGGAAGTGTCAGAAATGGACGACGTGAAAATTATAGATGGGTGGAAATTGGAGACAAAATGAACAATGTTTTCAAGGTCCTGGCAGGAGCATGAAACAGCACTGAAGCAGTCATTAATGTACTGAGAAAAGAGTTGTGGGGTGGGGCAGTGTAAGACTGGAACAAGGATCATTCCACATGCCCTAAAGAGTGGCAGGCATAACTGGAACCCATGCGGGTATCTGTAGCCCCTCCTTTGACTTGACAGAAGTGAAATGAGTTAAAGGAAAAATTCTTCAGTGAGAGAACAAGTTCACCCAGGCAGAGGAGAGTGGTGGCGGAGAAGGATTGTTCAGGCCTCTGGTTGAGGAAGAAGCTAAGAGCTCTCAGACTATCCTAGTGGGGAATGGAAGTATGGAGGGTTTGGACATCCATGGTCAGCCAATAAATTGAATCATTCCTATTGTTCCAGCTTTGTTGAGATAGGAAGAGCTATTCACACCTTGAGGACAGCAAAACTTAAAAAGCTTCTGTTTACCCCTATGGAAATGCTAATTGAATTCCAAATGTATTTTGTGTTTCTTCTTGAGATAGGTACAAACTATTTCCTCTAACTGGCTGATTTTGGTTGAGTTCACAAGAGATGTCAGGAGACTTCTGGGGACTTCTTTTTCCCAGAAATCTCCTCAGTGTCCACTTTTAGGAGGAAATTACAGTTCATTCTGAACCCTGTAATATTATAGTTACTTGTTTTGGAGTTTTCTTTATCTACTCATTTGTGCAATTTGGGCATCACTGGCTCGGCCAGCATTTCTTGCCCATCCCTAGTTGCCCCTTGAGAAGGTGGGGGTGAGCTGCCTTCTTGAATCACTGTAGTCCTGCTGTAGGTTGACCCACAATGCCCTTAGGGAG